CATATCTATAAGGAGTCAGGAAACCATCGATTTGACTGAGTTAACAAAGTACTGCTTTAAAGGAACACCAAACAAGAATAAACCTCAACTTTAGTCACATTTTGAGGCTGATTTCCCAACAATTCACCAATCATCCAACCATATTTTTGCTCAATCATCACTGATTTGTTCCAGCTTTAGAAGCCTCACACAGCAGAAACCCAGTGACGTACCCAGAACCAGACAAAAGTCATTAATTAAAAGTTGACACGGCAGCGTTCGCCATTCAAACACTGATGAAAACTGTACCAGGAGCTGCTTAAAGTAAAATAAAACACACATGTACGTACTGGCCTCAATCATTCTGTGGGAGTCACTGTTTTTTTTAACAAGGTGCAAATCTCATTTTGTTCAGGAACTCATTATCCTTTTTCAGACCAAGCTGGTGCAAGAAATAAAAAAAGAAAAGTTGTATTCAAAGGACAGAATTTGAATGAGAAATGAAATTAATTTAATGGTGCGGACATGGAGGCCAAATGGGCCCTGGAGGGGCTGTGAAATCCTTCCAGAGCGCCGTCCTTTCATATGTGGCTGCATTAGAGAAGATTTTAACGCGTCGCACTTTGCCGCCGCTTTGTGAGGATGCGTTATTAAAAGTTTGCTTAAGTTCGGCGACCTCCAGGAGGGGGGCGGGGCTAATGAAACACATGCAAATCCACGTGTGCAGCGACGGGAAGGAAGGCACGCGCGGCGGCATATTCCAAATCCAGCTTTTGTTTAACGCTTCAAAAGCCGGCCTCTCCTCCGCGGCGGCGGCGGTGGCGGCAGACAGGTGATGGGAGACTTCCTGTGATCGGCTTCTATGAATGTCACTAAATGGTGTGAAAATGGCAGCCAAGCAAGCTACAACAGAGCAGCGCTGGCGGATTTGTCTGCGTTTAATGAGGCAGCTGGTGGGGAGGCGAGGCATTGTTTTCCTCTCATTGGGGATGCATTGAGTAATTTGCAGTAACCGGGGAGATGCCATCCCTTTTCATCCCCTCTCAAATGGCCGCCTGACCGCGGCGGATGCCAAAAATGCCCGGGTACCGCTCCTGAGCACATTGTTGGCATTCAGCGGACATGAGCCACCGCGGCTACAAATGTTCCCCCCACAGCTTAATAAGGTGTCAAAGAGAAAATACCAGCGTAATTAAAGCAAATACCACATTAATGCAAACTGGGATTGTGAGGGAAAAGTGATGAAGTGTAGTTAATTATGGGGGGGTTTAGCATTCAGGCCTGATGGTGCGGTGAATAATTTAACTGTTCTTTCGACTTGTTTAACTCAGCTGGACAGATCATCGGGGCTATTATTAGAGACGCTGAGTTAAAGAGCACCGACTTCATCCTGGAGGACCACACCAGTGGTTCTGCATAATCTGGCACATTCACAGTAAATGGCTGCTATTTTCAACGCCGCTCGCTACGTGCTACCGAAGCTACGCTATTTCATGCATCCGCTGCCGTTAATTTATTCCGACATGAGAATCTACGAGCCGACCGTTCGGGCTCGACCAAGTTGTGCAAATCCATCAAGTCTGCGCTCGTGTGTTTTGTCACAGTCGCGCAGATGTAGCGTCACATGATGGTAATAAAGTGCAAACTAATGCGAAGCGATCTGCATGAATTAGCATCGCATTGTCACGTCGCGCATCGGGGGCCTCGACAGAGATGGATCGAAAAAAGAAAAGAAGAAAAAATAATCATCCAAATGAAAACAGCAGAAGATGAAATACGTGAACGTTTGGTGGAGCTGCAGAAGACGTCACCATTTTTTTCTGTTTTCTTCTGCAGATTTTTACATGATAATAATAATGATTCAACTTTCACAAAAAATAACACTGACTTGGTGCTTACATTACAACACAACCAATAGTTTTAAGGAGAAATGCATGAAAACAAACAAATAAACAAACAAAAAACAACGTTAAAAGACTTGTAGTTGTTAAACACAGCAGCGTGATCCTTCAAATTTAGCTCAAGATTCAGAAAAACACTAAATAAAAGCTGCACTTTGGGGACATTTTGGGAAAAAATTAAATTACTCAACATGAGCATCTTACATTTTTCATGCATTCAAACAAAATGTGAATTTTATACAAGTGGCATCACAGAAATGTGAAATATTTTTCTAATCAATGGCACATTTTGAAAGCTACTTCAGAGCACATGGAACAAATCGGATAACAAGACATTTCCTGTACAACACGCGAATCTACACTGCAGGAAAAACAATCCTACAGCGGTTATTAATTCAGCGATGCACCTGTAGTGTTTCTGTTCATGCAAAATATGAAAAAAAAGTGAAATAGGAGCGATTGATCGTACTCAAAGAGTGAAGAGGACGGTTGAAGGAATTTCCAAGATTGCAAATAAAAAGGGGGGAAAAAACACAAATACAACAATTTAAATTTTTAAAAAAACGGAAAAGAGATGAAGTGAAAGAAATATTTGCAAAAACAGAAAACTCCATTTTTGTAGATTTTTAGGAAAATTTTATTTTTGTTGTTGTTTGCTTCAGATGAAATCAATCAAACTGAAGTTGAGTGGATCTGACAAAAATAGAGACGACTTAAGTTTGATTGATGTTGTCTCAGGTAGACGATGGAGAAGTGGGTTTTCTGAAGGTTTGTGAAGATGGAGTTCTCTGTTTTTGCAAATGAACTCTTCAAATACATATAACCGATGAACACTCTGCAAGATCCTCCTCTCAAAAAAGTTGATGTTAAAGGTCCAAAATTGTGCAAAACAAGAGCTGCTGAGACAGTTTGACGTTCAAGGCTGCTAACTGGGGACTTTGTTTTTTTCTTTTACAAATGAAAAAATGTCTCTCACAAGGAATCTAAGTTTGCAGTAAATGCCAACCGATTGGGAACCAGCCTGCATCAGGAACGCAACACATAGCTGCAGCAAAAGCAGCATGTATTTTACATTATATATGTACACATTTCAACCTCCATTTTAATTATTTGACCACTTTCGTTCATTACTTTTAACCCAAAGTTTGCATTTACTTAATTATCCATTACTGGAAATAAAAAAAAAAAGAAATATTCTAAATCAGAAAATCTAATAATCAAAACTCTATTATGGAGCTTTTTGAGATCTTCTTTGCCCCCAAAGAGGGCCCCAAAAAACCCGAGTCAAAACTACAAATAGAATAGAAACGTTCCTCCTCGCTTTCATCCCTTCCAACAGCAGCCATCCTGCAGTCCAGTCACACCGCTCCTCCCTGCTCTTAGCCCACAGCGCCCCTTGTGGCCAATTCCACGCTCAAAGCAGGCTGCCGTGCTCTTCCAGCAGCAAACCCCCCATCTTCCCTCCTCCAATCCCTCCCCTCCAAACAGACGTGCATTTCAGCGAGCGGAGTCAGAAAGCGGTACAGTCAGAGAGGCAGCAGGATTCAGCACACAGTTGCATAACTGTCTCTACAGCAGGTGGGATGATAGCAGCAGCAGCAGCAGCAGAGAGAAGAGAGAAAAAAACGACTGACTTTTATGCATATTTCATTGTACGAGTGTCTAGTGAGTTAAATTACAGTGAAAATAAAGAACTCCTCTGTTTTCTAGCGATGCCACCGCAGCCCCTCAAGGACCCCCCGGAGCCTCCAGGAACAGAACCCGGCACGGGAGCCAAGTCACTGCAGTAAAATGTTGGACTGGAGACACACTTCTCCAGCCAATCTTTAAAAAAAAAAAAAGAAAAGCATTCAAATGATATTTCTGCTCCATCATAGAGCACGACAGGAGACGGACGTATGAAGACGAGGAAGGGGGTATCGGATTCCTGCCCCACCTCCCCTCCCCGACTTCCTCCCCGTTTTTTTTTTTAGTTCATAACCGCCGTGGGTATTAATAATTAATGAGGACAATTCTCTGGCGTCTGGATGAGTCATACTTTCTGCTACTTTGGTTTCCCAAAAGCCCAAAAAGGTTGGATTAACACGGTAACAGGAAATTTGAATTTTTTTTAACCCCTTAAAATGGGAGCAGGCATCAATGTTTGATGGACCCAAAATAAAAGAAAGTCTGAGAATAGGTGACACGAGGCGGCTCTGAAGCACAGAACCGGCACACACGAGTGGTTAAAGGGTGTTTTCGAAGCTCCGCTGTTGAGTTTAGCTGCTTAAATGAGGCTTAAGCTCACAAAGTAAACGCAGCGTTGGCTGAAGGCGCGTTGATTCTTAAGTGTTTTTGTTTTAAACTCAGCAGGAAAAAAAAAAAAAAAAAAGCACAATGGCCTTAAGTGTAAGAGAAGCAACAGTTTCCCAACAGCCAAACAACCAAACAGACTAAGCAATCATATATTACGCTTGAAGGGCAGCCAGTGTTTGCACAGCAACAAAAACAACATTCTGTCGCTTAAGCAGGAGTCTGTCCAACGTCGACAGACAATCCACCATGAAGAAGAAAAATAAAAAAAAAACCTCAAAGACGGGGGTGAAGACGAGCTACGAGGAGGTGAAACTAAAAAAAAGAAATAGGGGGACACAGTGCAAATAGGTGCTGATTTTAATTACCTTGATTCCAACATGATTATACAAGAGAGAGAAAATTAACCAATATACAGGAGATTTATGACCGATAGAAAACTGTATTTATTATACTTTCCAAGATACATTCTATTCATTTGTAATGTCAATAAACACTCATAGCTTTAACTTAACAATACTTTTTTTTTTTTTGTCTTTTTTTATATTTTAAATAAGGACCGGATAGAGTTAAGTTGATAAAAAGAGAATTTCGAAACCTTGTCTTGACAAATATAACCTCAAACTAAATAAATTAAACAAAAAAAAAACTATCTGAAGCCATCATGACTGAGCTGTTTTTTTTTTTTTTTACTAATATTGCACATGGTGTTTTTTTTTTTTTTATATGATCCGATCTAAAAAACAATTTAGAGCCTCGATTCGCTCGCCTCCTTTTCCCCTCCCCCACCCCAACCACCATCACCTCCAACAATTTCCCAGAAGCATATCAAGTTTAATGCACATTTATTTTGGTTGCATAATGTTAATAAGAAACCTTTTACAAGATACTGTGGGAGATATAAGAATAAGGAAACCGCTTGAAACTTCACAGAGCTCTCGTCAGGCCTCGGCTCGTCGTCGTCGTCGTCGTCGTCGTGCCACACAATGGGGGAAAGGGAACATCACAGATCACATTTCACAACCGTTCGTCGGCCGGAGGGGGGAGTTCCTCAGGGAAACCCCTCACCCACCCAATCGACAATCACTTCCCGATTTAGCTCTGATGTCCTATCAAGTCCATTTGTGTATTATTCCTCTTGTTTTTTTTTAAATAATACCAATAACTCTTTAAATAATCCTGCATAGAAAAATAAATTAACTATGTTGTTAAATTTTTTTTTCTTTAACTACGAATTCAGAGCTGACGAGGAGGGGCGGGGGAGGGGGGGAGGTGGATTGAATTATATTAGCGGTTGACAATTCTGGCTTGTAGTCTCTTGATGATGATGATGATGATGATGATGATGATGCAGTATGAGTGTGTTTGTCTTTCCTTGTAATTTACAAACCAGTCCCACAGATACAAATAATGTAAGACTTACAAAATAAATTCCAGGTTACGCTTACATGGCAAGCAGCTTTGTAATTTTTTTTTTTTTATCAGTTTTTTTTTCATTTTTTTGTTGTTTTTTTTTTTTCTTCTCATTTTTCCAGAAACAACGTCCTCTGACAGTGTATGTGCCGTTAGATTTCACCCAAAAAAAAACATACAGTTACTGTTAAGTAGCAATTTTTTTCTTTTTTTTCTTTTTTTTTTTTAAAGAGAAACACAACTCCATTCAGAAGACACTATATTTAACATGGCTCTTTACACAAATTAAAAACAAGTCATGAAATCATTCCCCCAAAAAAGAGTTTTGTGTTTAGTGCCTCCGATTCCCGTGAATGGAAATTAAAAAAACACAAACCAAAAAAAAAAAAAAAGAAAAAGCAGGAGCCCCCGTTTAGCCTCCCGGCAGAGAGCAGGTGTACTGCTACTGGTGTGTAATCCAGACAAGATGGCAGAGAAGTCTGACTCCAGAGAGCATCCGCGAGAACAAACAGACATCCCCAACAATAGGAAGGAAGAAAAAAGTAAAAATAAAAACAAGTAGCATCCATTGAGTCACTGATTCTGTTAATCTCATCCCAGAAGTCGCAATTTTTGGATACTTTCCAGAGCAAAAAACAAACGCTTCCTCCTTGTTCTTTCTCTCTCTCCTTTTTTTTTTTTTTTTAATGAAAACAGGGGCTGAAGCCGACGAGGTATAATTCTCAAGCACTGTTTTCAACCCTTTTGTTTGATTTGGTTGGGGAGGGAACAAAAAAAAAAGAGGAGAAAAAGAAGAACAAGAAGAACGAAAAAAATTAAAGAAGTACCCATTTCAATAGCAGCAAAAATACTACGACTGTCTGGTTGCTTGTTAGGGTGTCCTGTGGTGTGTTTGTGGCGGCATGGATAATCCCAAAAAAAACCCACACAAACAAAAGGTCTTTTACTGTGAAATTACATCCACGCTGATTCTAGTAATAGCTTTGTAGTGTGGTGGAGCCATTTTGTCCATCTCTGCATTGGTCATTAAGGATTTCCAGAAGGCACTTTTTTTTTGCTTTGTGTGTGTTTGTGTGGCTGCAGAGAGACATGAAGACGAGAGGGTTGAGAAGATCAGAGCGACGTCGGTGTGTTTTGTGTGGCTAGAGGGGCGACAAAAGAACCAGAGAGAAGGCAGATGTTGTTTGGCTTGTCTGTCTGCCTCTAATGTGTGTCTGACCTCTTTGTGTGTGTGTCGGGTGTAATCAATGCACAAAATCAAAACACAACAATCCCTACATTTTACTCAGCGCAGTCTGCTCCTCGAGCACCTGCAGGTAATCAGGCGTTCCTTGGAGCTTGGCTTTCAGCTCGTAATACTCACTTTTCCTCTGCTCCACCACGATCTTACTGTGGTTCCCGCCTATCAGCGACGACTTCTTCATCTTTTTATCCAGCGTTTTCTCCGGGTAGCGGATTTCGTACCCGCCCATCCCTATACTGTTGAAATCTCTTTTGCTGTCCAGGAAGTTGTGGATGAACATGCTGGGCTCCCGGTTGGGGAGAAACTCCTCGAGTTCGTCGATGGTGCTGAGCCGTTTGTTTCGCTCCAGGGTGGAGAGCGAGTCCTTGTCCTTGTCGGCGCTGTTCCGCAGGATGATCTTCTGCCTCTGCGAGTCCGCGAACTTGAAGCCGGCGTCCATGTCCGAGGAGCGCCCGATCCCGCAGGTGTGGCTCTTGCCGATGTGCTCGATGGTCTGAGGGATGAACGTCTCGCCGCCCAGGTCGTCCCCGGGGATGGAGCCTTTTTTGCCGGACTTGTGGCTGTGGCGCCGGAGCTGCAGCGACATGGAGCCGCACTCCTGATTCCCGAGCCCCTCCTGCCGGCCCACTGGTTTTTTATTTCGCCTCAGGACAAACACTAAAAGGCAGAAGGCCACAAACACAGTAAGGATGAGCACTACGAGGATGCTGAGGATCATAATCGAGAGAGGCACGGGCCCTCCCGGCGGTGCTTTGCCAACTCCGGCAGGCGACACCGAGGTCAGAACGGGGGTGGCGCTAGTCTGAACAAACGGCGGCCTCGCCAGCTTAGGACAGAGGATCTCGTTTTTTAAGAGGCGCAGCTCAATGTTGGAGAACTGCACAGGGGAGGCACATTTCACCTCTTTGGCAGCCACTCCATCACTTAGCTTCTGCAGCCAGAGTTTGAGGGCGACCAGATCGCAGGAACACTCCCACGGGTTCCCTTCCAGGTCTATTTGGGTCAATGACCGCAGCTGGTCCAAGACACCACTCACTGGCAGGGTCATGAAGTGGTTGTTTTTCAGATTCAATCTGGCTAAAGAGACGCCCGCAAAGACGTAGGCGGGGAGACTCCGCAGAACGTTGTTGTTGAGATACAGGAGCTGCAGGTTCGGCATGGAGTCAAAGGTGCCCGCTAAGATTTCCTTTATGGCATTGTATTCCAAATATAGGTACTGTAGGTTTGTGAGGCCCAAAAACATCTCTGGGTGCAACTGCTCCAGCTGGTTTCCATTCAGATACAGTCTCCTCAGGTTGGTGAGGTTAGAAAACACGCCTTTCTGCACCGTGACGATCTGATTGCTGCCAAGGTGGAGCAAGTCTAAGCCCTCGAACCCTTGGAAGTCGCTGGGGCTGATGTCGCGGATGTAATTCCCACTCAGGTGGAGTTTCTTGGCATTTGGGGGTTTGGGAATGAGATCGGCTAAATTTTTAATGTTCCTCTCCTGACAGCTGACACTGATGCCAAAGTCAGAGGGGTGGGCTTTACAGCTGCACGGCTGTGGACACAACAGGGGAGGGGTCCGAGTCTGAAAGGAAACAATCTGGCTATTTCTTCCAAAGGGCGGCAAACCGGCCACGATGCCGTTGCCGTAAATCTTGGACGAGTCAGTGGTTTTTGGCGATTTCGTGGCCACGGGGGCCACGGTGGTCGGAGACATTTTCGAGGGGAACTGCCCGTTGTCGGGCGGCGGCATTCTGACGTCGAACTCACTTCCGGTTCCCATCGGACAAAGCTCCTGCTTGTTGGTTTCCTTCAGGAGCCTCCCGTACAAGTCACTCGGTGTTTCGCATATGGCCTCGCCAATAAAAATGTTATAGGGCATGTTTTCTAGCCATGCCTTGAGAGGCGCTAAATCACAGGTACAGTTCCAGGGGTTGTCGTCCAGCTGCAGCTCTACAATGCGCCCGATGTGCTCCAGAACCCCCAAATAGGGGAGCTTCTGGATCCGGTTCCCCCTTATATCCAGATGCGTGAGCGAGGCGAAGCGAAATATGTTGTCAGGAAGCGCCTGTATGAGGTTGTCATTCAGGATCAGCACTTTCAGCTTGTGCAGTTTGTTAAACGCTCCCTTTTCAATGTACTTTATCAAGTTGTAGTCGGCCTGAAGGTACTCCAAGTTCTCTATTCCTTGGAAAGTGTCCGCTCGCAGCACCTTTAACTCGTTATTGTTCAGGTGCAGCTGCTTCAACGCGCTCATCCCCATGAACGCTCCGCCTTCGATGTTCTGCAGTTTATTGTTCCCCAGCTGCAGTGACACAGCGTGGGTGAAGTTGAGGAACGAGTTCGGGTACAGTATGATTAAGAAGTTGTTCTGAAAGTTCAGGTGGTACAAGGACGAGGCCGGAGGGATGAGCTGCGTGGGTCGATACACCGTGATCTTCTCGCAGTTGACGTACAGCACGTTCTCCACCGACATGCAGGAGCAGGCGCTGCAGGTCTCCGCCATCAAGTCCGAGGCGGACGGGTCTGCCATCGGGGGTCCGTCCGACATGGAGGGGGAGGAGAGGGAGGAGGAGAGGGAGCCGGAGATGGAGGAAGAAAAGGCTGCCAGCAGGAGTACGAGCAGCATCTCGCCGGTTAGAAATCCTCCCCCAGAAAACCATTTAGTAACCTTTGGAGAGAGAGAAAAAAAACGAGAGACAGGTGCATGCACAAACATCCGCACACACAGACGTACATATGTGCAAACAAGACCAGAGACGCACACACACACACACACACACACACACACACAGAAAGCAATCCATCAAAATGCATATTTGAGATTGATTCTTCTGCAGTTCCAACATTCAATCCATTTTGGCAGGTTTATAAAATCGATAGAAACACATTAGGTCTATTATTTTTTTTACCGTTTAAAAACAATACGTTGATGACACACATTTCTAATTATTGCACTTTTTCATTAGATGATTGGACTGAGTGGCTTTGGCATCGACACGACGACTCTCCCTAATCACTGGACGATACAAATGTTTGATGCAGATTATTCGGTGCTGCAGGGAAGAAAAAAAAAAAAAAGTACCACCACATGCTGGAGAAATTACTCAAACTGCAGCACATCTATGTATCTTATTCTGATATCCAGAAGAAAAAAAAAAGCATCCTCTGGAAAATGTCAAAGACAGCAGCACGAAATATTCCTCCTCTCTCAGCATTTCAACATAATCAAACGGCTGCAGCTCTCGCTGTTTTTCTTGTTTTGCTTTTTTAATTCATGGGGGTCTCATCTGAAGCCAGCAGCACCACATTCAGGTTATTTAGCAACTGTGAGAGCAAAGGGGGGACGAGGAGGAATTGGGACTGTGCCCATTTGCTGACATATTGAGAGGATTTTTAAGCAGGACCCATTTATCAGAGGAAGAAAACATTTTTTTCCCACCAAATAGAAGATTAAAATGTTTGAGGACTGCAGGCATTTCATATAAAAATGTTCTTTTTTTTAAATGATGACATCTAAATAAATTGGACTTACCAAAAGCTGGGGTGGTAATGAATGCGGCTCCCTCTGGAGACGCGGGGCAGCATTGGTGAGACATGGATGGAGACGTGCGCAAACAGTCCTCCCAGCTCAAGTAGACAGTTGTCGGGGGGGCGCAACAAGGTTTCTCCAGCACCCCCCGCTTTATATCTCCATGTAGGCTTCTGTGGATCAACCCCAGCCAAGCAAACTGGAAGTGGTGGTGGTGGTGGAGGGGGGGTGCAGTGGAGATGGA